GTGTAGATGGAGAAGAGAAGAGGTCCGAGGACAGAGCCTTGGGGGACTCCAACAGAGAGGGGGAGCGAGGGGGAGGTGGCAGTGTTATAGGTGACCCTGAAGGAGCGTTGGGATAGGTAGAAGGAGAACCAGGAGAGAGCAGCGTCCCTGATGCCGAGGGAATGCAGTTTTGTAAGGAGGAGGGGGTGGTCGACTGTGTCGAAGGCCGCGGAGAGGTCGAGGAGCAGGAGGACTGAGTAATGGCCATTAGCTTTGGCGGTTAGCAGGTCGTTAGTGATTTTAAGTAGGGCAGTTTTGGTGGAGTGTAGGGGACGGAAGCCTGACTGTAGTGGATCAAGGTTTGTCAGGAATGGACTCAGCACTGGTGGTGGGACTCATCTGCCGTGTGGGCTGCAGTGCCGAAAGCTGGCCAGCGGGTGCTCTCAGCAGCCAGAAGCTCACACGTGCAATCAGCCAAACCTGGGGCTGATTGCAGAAAGGTGTATTAAAGGCATGACCAGGCCTGTGATCTGGGGCTTGGTGTATGGTTTCCCATGAGCCTCTGTACCTGGTATCTTGTGTTCCTGCTTCGTTGCTGACCTGGCTTGATCCTGACCTCTGCTTACCGTCTCCTGTTGAACCCCTGGCTTGTGACCTTGACCATTCTCTGCCTTCTCCTTTGGTACCTTGCTGCCCGCACGTTGCTGACTTGGCCCGTCTGACCACGCTAACTACTCTGCCATCCATCCATCCTGCACGGATCCAGCCGTACCTGCACATACCTCTGGCGGATCCCTCTACCACTAGCAGGTGTACTCAGGGGCCGCGACCTGGTTCCTGTCTGCTCCAAGTCCATCCCCACCAGCAGGGGCCCTGGTGAATAAGCAGACTGGGACTTAGACTCCGCGCCCTGGGAATCCTGTCCTGGGGACCACTAGAGGTACCACCAAACAGTCATTACAGAACCCTACGGCCAGCCTGACCGTTCCACCTCTCCAGCCTTGACTACGCTGTGTTCCTGCACCTACTAAGATTAGTGGAAGGTTGGTTTGTTCACTGTGCGTTATATATATATATATCTGGGTGGCTAATAATAAACTGTATTATTATACTATACCTGAAACCTGCGTTTCCCTGTGTCAGTCCACACCTTTCTGGTCATTCCTAGATTCCTGACATCACACCAAGGCCTTTCCTAACCAGAAGTGGCTGCACAGGGAAGCCATCTTGACTTGTTGTGAAGGATGCATCCTGATGAGGTTATATATTTGTCTATGCTAGTCTTTGATGACAGAGAATATGCCTATCAGACTCTGCGGGAGTATACCAGGGATCAGCTGCTAGAGTGCATACGGGTCGCTCATTCCCTAGTAGGTCAGGTCCTAGAGCTCTCTGAGGTGCAACCATTGATTCGGCTTGTGTTGAGTTGGCTTCATCTAGTACCCCTGAAAGCAGGGATGAATTCCTTCCTCCATTCAGGGTGAGTCAAATAATATCACTGGTATGGTTGTTGGAGGATGATCCGGATTGCTTCTTGGAGCATTATTCAGCATGTTCACCACATGTGCTGAAGAAGTGTATAAACGCAGTGCAATCTTTGACCAGACAGGCCTTGTGTAAGCTGAGCGTTGTCCAACCCTTACTGAAGACATGGTCAGACTTGTTACACCCAGCCTCAATCAGCTTGCAACGAACCAGTCCTGTTTCTCATCATTCCTCTGCTCAAAGCTCTTTTCCTGCATTCCCGACAGCACCCCCAGTGACAGCCCAGTATACCCTGCAATCTACCACATGTCAGTACCCTGCTCCCACTCGCTGTACCATCGTGCCAGTCGACTCGGTGCCAGTTGACTCGGTGCCCGCTGTCGTGCCCAGTCGACTCGGTGCCAGTTGACTCAGTGCCCGCTGTCGAGCCAGATGACTTGATGCCTGATGATTCGGTGCCCGCTGTCGTGCCCGTTGACTTGGTGCCCGCTGTTGTACCAGTTGACTCGGTGCCAGTTGACTCGGTGCCCGCTGTCATGCCAGTTGACTCGGTGCCAGCTGACTCGGTGCCCCCTGTCAAGCCAGATGACTTGATGCCTGATGATTCGGTGCCCGCTGTTGTGCCAGTTGACTTGGTGCCCGCTGTCGTACCAGTTGACTCGGTGCCAATTGACTCGGTGCCCGCTGTTGTGCCGGTTGACTTGGTGCCCGCTGTCGTACCAGTTGACTCGGTGCCAGTTGACTCGGTGCCCACTGTCGTGCCAGTTGACTCGGTGCCCGCTGTTGAGCCGGAAGACTTGATGCCTGATGACTCGGTGCCCGCTGTCGTGCCAGATGACCTGATGCCTGAGGACCCAGTGCCCGCTGTTGAGCCACATGACCTGATGACTGATAACTTGGTGCCCGCTGTCGTGCCAGTTGATTCAGTGCCCACTGTTGTGCCAGTTAATTTGGTGCCTGCAGTCGAGCTTGGTGACCCGGTACCCGCGGTTCTGCTAGATGGCTCGGTGCCCGCTGACATGCCCGGTGACTCGGTGCCCGCTGACTTGCCAGGTGACTCTGTGCCCGCGGTTCTGCTAGATGGCTCGGTGCCCGCTGACATGCCCGGTGACTCGGTGCCCGCTGACTTGCCAGGTGACTCTGTGCCCGGGGTTCTGCTAGATGGCTCGGTGCCCGCTGACGTGCCTGGTGACTCGGTGCCCGCTGTCGTGCCAGATGACTCGGTGCCCGCTGACGTGCCTCTGCCCGCTGCACAGCCCGACATGCCAGCCCCTGATGTCCAGCTAAACTGGCCAATAACTGATTCCCAGCCTGCTCCTGGAAATCCTGTGCCCAGTGACCTGCCTTCTTGGGTTCTCCTACACAAAGAGAAGTCTACCAGCAGGAAACCCAGCCAGCCGGTTTTCTCCGGCAGTTGGATATTCAGCCAGTTACCTGACCCGGGCGGTGGAACATTTTGCCCACTAAGGACTGTCTGGAGCGTCCTGAGGCCGCTCCTTGAGGGGGGGGGGTACTGTCAGGAATGGACTCAGCACTGGTGGTGGGACTCATCTGCCGTGTGGGCTGCAGTGCCGGAGCTGGCCAGCAGGTGCTCTCAGCAGCCAGAAGCTCACACGTGCAATCAGCCAAACCTGGGGCTGATTGCAGAAAGGTGTATTTAAGGCATGACCAGGCCTGTGATCTGGGGCTTGGTGTATGGTTTCCCATGAGCCTCTGTACCTGGTATCTTGTGTTCCTGCTTCGTTGCTGACCCGGCTTGATCCTGACCTCTGCTGACCGTCTCCTGTTGAACCCCTGGCTTGTGACCTTGACCATTCTCTGCCTGCTCCTTTGGTACCTTGCTGCCCGCACGTTGCTGACTTGGCCCGTCTGACCACGCTAACTACTCTGCCATCCATCCATCTTGCACGGATCCAGCCGTACCTGCACATACCTCTGGCGGATCCCTCTACCACTAGCAGGTGTACTCAGGGGCCGCGACCTGGTTCCTGTCTGCTCCAAGTCCATCCCCACCATCAGGGGCCCTGGTGAATAAGCAGACTGGGACTTAGACTCCGCGCCCTGGGGAATCCTGTCCTGGGGACCACTAGAGGTACCACCAAACAGTCATTACAGAACCCTACGGCCAGCCTGACCGTTCCACCTCTCCAGCCTTGACTACGCCTGTGTTCCTGCACCTACTAAGATTAGTGGAAGGTTGGTTTGTTCACTGTGCGTTTATATATATATATCTGGGTGGCTAATAATAAACTGTATTATTATACTATACCTGAAACCTGCGTTTCCCTGTGTCAGTCCACAGCTTTCTGGTCATTCCTAGATTCCTGACAAGGAGGTTGTTATCAGTGAGGTGGGCGCTTAGGCGATTGTAGGCCAAGCGCTCAAGAAGCTTGGAAGTGAATGGTAGCAGGGAGATGGGTCTAAGGTTGTTTGGATCAGTGGGGTCAAGGGAGGGTTTTTTGAGTATGGGAGTGATGTGTGCGTGCTTTAGGGGGAGGGGAATGTGCCAGTGGAGAGGGAGAGATTGAAGATGTGGGTGAGGGAGCGAATGATGGAGGAGGGGGGTGAATGGAGGAGCTGTGAGGGGATAGGGTCCAGGGGGCAAGTGGTGAGGCGGGCTTCAGTGAAGACCTTAGTGACCTCCTCAGTGGTAGCTGGGCTGAAGGAGCGGAGCGATGGGGAGGTGATAGTGTGTGGGGTGTTAGGTATGGTGGGGGGCAGTGCGGGTATGAGCTTGGAGGAGGGGAGAGTTGAGGGGGTGATGGGGGGGGCAAGGTGGAGAGGTAGATTGTGAGTTGACAATGTCCTTACGGATTGCATCAATCTTGTTTTGGAAATGATTGGCAATCTCGTGGGCGGTGAGTGAGGTACTGAGTGGAGTTGGGGGTGGGGAGAGAGCAGGGGTTTGAAAGAGGAGAAGAGCCGGCAAGGACAGGTGGACATTTATGTCCTTTTTTCCCCACAAATAGAGCTTTCGTTCCGTGGTATTTGATAAACTCTGCGTTTTTCATTTTTTGCACTATAAACAAAGAAATACCGATTAATTTTGAAAAAAAAAAAACCCCAACATTTTTGACTTTTTGCTATAAAACATATCCAGTAAAGAAATTTAAAGTATCTAATTTCTTCATAAACTCAGGCCAAAATGTATTCTTTTACATGTCTTTGCTAAAAAAAAAAATCCCAATACGTGTAAACTTCTGTTTCCTCTTGTACCAAACTGTATTTTAACTGTAATTTGTAACCTTCATTTTGTAAAGTGCTGCGCAAACTGTTGGCACTATATAAATCCTGTATAATAATAATAATAATAATTAACCACTAGCCAACAGGGCACTTATACCCCCTTCCTGCCCAGGCCAATTTCCAGCTTTCTGCGCTGTTGCATTTTGAATGACAATTGCGCGGTCATGCAACACTGTACCCATATGAAATTTTTAGCATTTTTTTTGTGACAGATAGAGCTTTATTTTGATGGTATTTAATCATCTCTGGGTTTTTTATTTTTTCTTAAACAAACCAAAAACCACTGAAAATTTTGAAAAAAAAAAAAACTTTTTTCTTAGTTTTTGTTATAATATTTTGTAAATAAATGATTTTTCTCCTTCACTGATGTGCACTAATGAGGCTGCACTGATGGGCACTGATAGACTGCACTGAAGGACACTGAGAGGTGGCACTGATGGGCACTGATGAGGAGGCACTGGTAGGTGGCACTGATATGCATTGACAGGCATCACTGATGGGCACTGAAAGGCAGCACTGATATATGGCACTGATAGGTGGCAATGATAGGTGGCACTGACTGGCACTGTTAGGTGGCACTGACTGGCACTGTTAGGCGGCACTGATAGGCAGCATTGATTGGCAGCGTGACAGCTCGTGAGGAGAGAAATGCCGATAACTGCCATTTCCCTGTTTACATGTGATCAGCTGTGATTGGACACAGCTGATCACATGACCGAGCCGACATCTTCGGCTCTTTCTGTGGATTGGTGATCCATTGCACGCTCCAGGAGCCACACATGTGCGGTTAGAATGGGAGGATGTCATATGACGTCCTCCCAGAACAAGAGAACCGCCTTGCATCCGTCATATTACTATATGGCGGGCGGGAGGCGGTTAATTGGCTTATGTGAAAGTTATAGCATCTGCAAATGGCGGCATATATACTGGAATTTTAAGTTTTACTTTTTTTATACTAGTAATGGCGGCGATCAGCAACTTATAGCGGGACTGCGGCAGGTATTCTGACACTGGGTGGGAACTGACTAACTGCCACCGACAACCCCAGTGGCACTAATACAGTGATCAGTGCTAATAAAAAGCACTGACACTGTACTAATGACATTGATCAGGCAGGGGTTAATTAATATCTGCTGCGATCAAAGGGTTAACTGTGTACTGTGTGTCTTTTACATTATGTGCTGTGTGTGAGAAATCCAAAGCAGCATGTCCTTGCTGACAGAAGAGAGATCTGTGTTGTTTACACACAGGTCTCTCCCCTGTCAGCTTTCCCTGACGATCACCGAGTGCCGGCGGATAATCGCTGGCCGGGACCTGGTGATTGACATCTCTAGCCGCCGATAGCGACATGGGTAGGGCAGTGTATGCCCCTTACCCAGAATCGCAAATCACATATATATATATATATATATATATATATATATATGTACTTTTGTGCAGTCCTGCCGCCCTCTAACAGTACTTCTACTATAGGGCGGCGGGCAACCGGTAACACTCTCTGTCCTGTGCTGTCACATCTCATTATTAGTTGTAAACTGGATTTTAACTAGATTTAACACAAAGGGATAATAATTTAGTAATAATTTAGAATCTCAGATTCTCCATTGTATGTACATGAGGGAAATCCACACAGTATTGTATTTTAAAGTTAATATAGTGAAGAGTAGCAGCAAGTAACATCCAATGAACCGATATACCATCATTTTCAATATGTATTACTGTAAGTATAGGGTTTTGTCAGAGACCTAAAACCTTTCAACCATCTAATGTCCAGGCCTCCCTGCAATGATTAATGAATGTTCTCGGTGGCTAACAAGGCGTTATCTCTCTAGCTACAGGCAATGTGGAAAAACTCATCTACAAAATTCTCAAAAGAGGCACTGGAATCCTATTTTTTTTCCTATGACTTTTCTTCGCAACAGAATCTTGGCAGACACGCAGAAAGGATTTCTAAACTGTAGAAAGTGACTGCAATCTGAGTCTTTAGAGTCTTTGCTGTCATCTTTGAGAATTAATTGAAATACAAGCAGATAAGGAGGTCAGGGATGTCTTGTTTCTAAGTAATAATAAACCTTCAACTATATTTCCCTGTTACCCTATAGATCATGTGTAATAGCTGCAAATGCAAGTTTGTTTTAACTTATTATGTTCAAAACATTTTTTACATTATTAAAAGATGACAATATGACTTTCTACTCTGCTTCCCCAAATGTCCTGTTGGAGAGCAAGCACTTTGCAAACCATACTTATGGACAAAAAAACAGCTGGCAGTCTAAGTGCTGCATTTTCCAGAGGAAGTTGTCCGTAAACTGGGGGGCAAATTAGAGGAGAGCTGCGGTTTACAGAGGAGGCAGTCTGTGCCTGGTGTAACTGCTGCTATGATGCCTCTATATTTTATTTCATAGTGCATGGATGTAGTAACAATAACGCTTTCATGAAGGTCCAATCCACCCAATCAAACACCTTTTCAGCATCGGTTGAAAATAGCATAGTGTGTGTCAATTTCTAGTGTGCCCAGTGAATGGCATTAATAACCCTAGTAGTATTGTCTTTCGCCTCCCTTTATGGAACAATCCTACTTGATCTTGGTGGGTGCACTTTTGAATCAGAGGGAGTAGTAGTCAATATTTTTGTGAACAACTTAAAGTCTACATTTAAGAGAGAAATGGGCCGGTAGTTAGTATATTGAGTAAATTCTTTTTCTTCTTTAGGGAGCACCGTGATGTTAGCCTGGAGGGTATCTGCAGAAAGTGTTCCCCCATCCATCCAAGATAGAGTTAAAACCGTCTAAAAGTGGTTGGGACAGGAGCTATGCATATAGCTTATAATAGGTAAGGGGAAAGCCAGCCGGGCCCAGGGCTTTGTGAGGATTAGTTTCCTTGAGAGCCTGATGCCATTCCTCAACTGTAACTGGCTCACCCAGAGGAAGGGTATCTTCTTCTGAATTCCTTCAAAAATTGCTAACCACTCATAGATGCTGGGGATGAGGAGTTGTAGAGGTCTTTATGAAAAATCTCTAAAATGCCCTGCTATTTCTGCAGTATTGTGGACCATGCCTTCACTGCCACAGTGGATACTGGGGACGTAAGAGCGAGCCCTCAGTTCATTTAGAGCATTTGCTAAAAGCCTGCCCGGCTTGTCCCCCCATTTGTGGAACGTTTGCCTTATTAGAAGGTTACTTTAGCTCTGTAAGGGAGGAGTCCAGTCAGCCTGTCCCGCAGCATCTGGAGTTCAGCAAAGATAGAGGCAAGCAAAGTTTTTTTTGTGTGAAGTTTCCAATTGTCGAATCTTATCTAAAAGTGGGTATTTGTTTCAAGCGTTTTTTTTTTTTTTTTTTTTTTTTTTTTTTTTAGGCAAAAGCCCCAGGCTGCATGTTTTAACACCTCAATACCAGCATGTTTCTTCATTTCCAAAACATTGTTATCTCCCAGGGGTGTCTACTTTCTAAAAAGGGGTCACTTTCAGGGTGTTCATACTGTCCTGGCATATTTATATGCTATGTGTTATAACATAAAGTAGGAGTTTTTTTCAGCATTTTGGTCTTTTTTCCACTAGAGAAGTAAAAAGAAAAACAATAGCAAAAGAAAGCTCTATACATCTAAAAAAATGATATAAAATTAATTTGGGTACACTATTGCGTATATACAGGCTGGTTAACCATTTGCCGCCCACCCTATGGCCGAACGGTGGCCGGCAAATGTCATCAGCGTTCCGGGTGGACGCCATAGGGCGTCCTCCCGCACATGCGCAGTTGCGCTCCTGCAGAGCTGCGCAGCGGCGCAATCTGTCACTGGCCGTGTACCTCGGACACGGCTGATGACAGATCTGAGTATCGGCCCCCGTTGCCGGTACCATGTGACCTGCTGTGACCAATCACAGCAGGTCCCATGACAGTTGTATACAATGGATGGCTTCATTCATGCCATCCATTGTATACTAGTGTCTAGCTGTGAATGGTCACAGCTAATCACATGCACATGTCATGTGATTAGCTGTGGCCAAATCACAGCTAAGCACAAAAAAAAAAAACCCCTGAATGAATTGATGTCATTCAGGTAAATGCTTGCTTATAGCAAAGTAATTCTTTGCTATAAGCAAATAGTGTAAAAAAAAAAAAAAATACTGATCACTTCCCCAAAGTAGTACAATGTTACTATGGTAACATTGTACTGCTTTGGTCATAGTGAAATATGAAAAAAAAATCTTAAAAAAAAAAAAAATGTAATAAAAAAAAATAATACTAAAAAATAAAAAAAATATATATATTTTTTCATACTATCACCAGTCAGTGTCCCTGATCACCGCCATGCCAGTTATATGATGACGCTGTACTGCACTGGTGCCAATATGCAAAATAAAAATAGTGAAACTAATTTTTTTTCATTTTCCGAAAAATTATGACAAAAAAAATACAACTTCAAAAAACTCACCATGCCTCTTATGAAGTACGTTGGACTATCTACTTTGCAAACAGGGGTCATTTGGGGGATATCTGTATTGTTCTGACTTTCTTGGACCTCAAGAAATTAGATTGGCTGTCAGTACTTCAGTGTTGATCAATATTCAGATCTATACCATAGTTTGTGAACTCTATAACTTTCCTACAAACTAAAAAATACATATTAATTTGGGTTATTTTCACCAATTACATGTAGCAGAATACATCTCGGCCTAAATTTATGAAGAACAATTATTTATTTGCAAACTTTTATAACAGAAACAAACAAAAACGTGTGTTTTTTTTTTCAAAATGTTTGGTCTTTTTTTGTTAATTTAGCAAAAAATAAAAACCCCAGCAGTGATTAAATACCACCAAAAGAAAGCTCTAGTTGTGTGAAGAAAATGATAAAATTTTAGTTTGGGTACAATGTTGTATGACTGCGCAATTGTCATTCAAAGTGTGAGAGTGCTGAAACCTGAAAACTGACCTGGGTAGGAAGGTGTAAAAGTGCCCAGTATTGAATTGGTTAATGTCCACATTTTGTTGTGCAGGTGCACTTTAATATTAGACAGGCCTCATTTATGTTAGGGCTATTTTGGCAGGCATACTGAGGTAGAAATTCAGATGCTGATCTGGAATTCAATTAAAAATATTTATTTCTGACAAGGAAACTATATACTTAACAACTGTCATAGATGTTCTGGGAAAGTCCAAGATTTTGCCAAGTTGTCTTGAAATAGCTATGCCCCTGGCTGTGCCCCAGGATCACAGCTTGAGGCATACCACCCAGCAGTGAGCAAGGTCAGAAGACCTTCATCTGCGCAAAACATGCTTTGATAGCTCACTCGATCACTACTGTCACTTGTAAACACAGCAACCAGAAGAGGAAATCTTCCATTACTCTCTTTTTCTGTGGCTGATGAGATCATCTAATGCCACTTTTACAAGTGACAGTGGCAGTCAGGACAGTTGTCACAATGGGTCCTTGAGATGATGAAAGCCTGTCATTGTCCAATTTATTGATTTTGCATTAGCTAGAGTATCCTGTATGTGGGGAGGTGCAGCATGGAGTGGCGCTGGTAAAGACACGGAGTCCGGTTGCCGATACACTCAGAACTTGTATTGCAGAAAT